ATTTGATGTTAATGCTTATGCTGAACCTGATAAAAACTACAGCATGCACTTGGTACATCTATCCCAAATTGTGTGATTTACAGTAAATACATTTTTGTAGACGTACATCATTGGGATTCCTGTGAATCGCACGATGCACATTGTTACATGTGTCCTCCAGCTTTACAAACAGTTTATTTCACAAGATTTATAGAGCTGGCTGGAAAACAAGTGCAATTTTGAGCATGTAAACACTGGATCTTTTCCTGGCTGTGGAGATGAACCAGATGGTGTGGGGTAAAAATATATGAAAATAAAACCTTTTAAAACTCAGGTCATGCAAAACAAAACCTACAAGGTACACACAAAATCATGAAGACACCAACAAAAGTTCTTCAAGCAGTGAGGAGTCTGTTCAGCCCTGTAAGGGTGATTCGGTGGATGAGAACTTCTTCTATGGGTGTGGTTTAATTTTTTAGCTGAACACATGAAATGTGAACAGTAGTGTCAACAGAGAATGATGCAATTTGTATATTATTCTGTCTTGGATAGCAGCGAGCAATTAGGATGGAGTGTGAAATGGCATCTAACATAGTGCTTTATAAGCACCGAGAGGAGCGTCGGTCCACTTTATGAAAGAGAAAGAGTTAAATCCCACAACACTATTGAGTTTCTTTAACAGAATCGAGTGACTTTTGTGGAATATTTCTTTCTTTACCTATGCAGGATGCAGTTTGCTAATCGTACCCTCACATAGCTAAAAATGCTACAATCCAGCACAGACTTAAGACTTCTGCAACAAAGCATCTGTGCTTGGGCAATAGGCTAAGTGCCTTGCTCAAGGGCACTTGTGACTGTCTTAGTGAGGAACAGGAAAAAAACATCCCACTCGCCCTCTTAAGGCAACCCTGCTCCTCTAGCCTCTATAAGCCAGCTAGCCGATCATGCCCTTTATGTTCTGAGTGGACTTGTGAGTGACTGATTTGTTGATGGCTGAGGTAAATGCAGCGCTGTGCTGAAATCTCCAGCAAAGTTTAAGGTCAGATCAGACAGATAAAAAGGGGGGAAACTCAACCGCAGAATTTCACAGTCTCATTTGCAGAGAGCGTATCAAGGCATACTGCAATTTCCAGGCATCTTTGTCAGCATTAGCATGAGCCTTTATGTGGAGTGAACAGGTGAACCCATAAAAGCTCAGAGGCACCAGAAGCTCCATCACTGTGAGAGGACTTTGTGTTGCTTTCTCCATATTTTTGTTCACACCGTGTATTTCTTGTGTTGGATTTTTTTTTTTTTTTAGGTTTCGTTTGCAGAAGTATGCCAATGCTAGAGAAGCTGTCCATGCCATTAGCAGTGAGGCTAGCTGGTATTACGAACTGCCATGTTTTTGTTCATGCATTAAGAACTATTAAGTGAAAGATATCATATTTACAGTACAATTCACATGTAATTACACATATACACTAGAGGCAAGAAAATTCACATTGAAATCAGTTCAACTCTTTTTTCCCCTCCTCTTCTACTCTTTGAACATATGTGTCAAAAGAAAATGTATTTTCTCTCTCGAATAAGCAATAACCTAAAGAAAAGCTTCAAACAGAAGATCCTCACAGCTTTTGGGATGAATGTGTTGATTTCATGTCTAGAAAGCAGGCAATACGTGTTTCGACTGAAATGAATGGTGGTTTTAGTTACTGTGAGCACGCCTCGGCTACTAATGTTTTTGCTCCATGTGCGTTTGGAGTTCATTATAGATATGGTTCTCTAAAGAATCATATCTAAATAGGCATGTTTGTATTCATTTCTGGAAATAAGTAAACCTGAGGGAGAATTTAATACTTGAGTTAGTTTTGATTACAAAGCATTTACTCTAAGTGCATCTCACTGAGACCACAGAGTAGGCGGATTAGGCTTATTTTAGTCTAACACAATAGAATGTGCTTGTCTTGCAGTGGAACAAAAAATATCCTCTGGTCGTGTAGTCTGAGTCTGACTAAACTCTTCATAAAGATCCATCATATTTCATTTGAACAGCTGTTAGTGCGCAGGGCAGAGGAAAATAATCTAAAACAATAGAGAAAGTGTATTGCACGATCTGTATGAATTTCCATTCATCGCCGTATCACTTTATGTTAGTAAGAACGCAAATGTAAGTGTGCACATCTGAAATAACCCTATTCACATCTAACATCATAAATATTTTACCAGTCATGAAATAATCAATAATCTGATAACGCAATTTAACTCTACTCTTCATCTGATTTGAACAACCTACTGGCATAAAGAGAATCACATCTAGTAACGACGTCGTCAGAGCATCTCACACGAGAAAACTTCTGCAGTTAGAAGTCAGGATTGCAGCATATGTATCACAGGGACGTCAATAATGAGTTAAAGGGGAACGGCAACATCAAAGTCAGTTCACTGGTGTCAGGGAGTACTACTGCATAAGTGAAAGAAGAGGTGTAAAGCTTTTGTGCCTCAACCGACGGCAATGTGGAGCAGGCGCTAGATTTAAACAGAGAAGAAGAACGAAAAGAGTAAAAGGCCATAATTCTTTTCCCTTTATCAGATTAAACTTTTTTCTTTGCTATGGGTTCTCCGCTAAGTGTCCGGTGGTGTTAATGGACTGTTAAATCAGCACAGTGCTCAGACGTCTCGCACTGGGCTCTTTCCTCTCTCCTCGTTCTTTCATGGTGTCAAAGATGGTTGTGTATTTTCAGTATATTTAATTCCCAACTCTATTCAATTTAAAAGCTCTGACTATTTGTCCTAGTCCAGTGCTGAAAATGCATTTCATGTCAACTAAATCTGAATCTTTTGAAAGCTTGGCTTTGTAAACACATTTGGACTCCGATGACTGAGACTTCAGACTATTGAACTTCAATTGAAAACCTAAAAAATGTAATTATTGTGTTAATTTAACCTTCTTTTTTTTTTAACACATTGCTACTAGACACTGTAACCCACTGGCTGACATTGAAACATGGACTACAGCACCTTTATAACTTATATTTACCCCAGCCAACTGTCTGTTTTACCCCCAATGAGTTATTTTGTATGTCCTTTTCCCTTTTATGTCAGTGACTGGGAAGTTCAGAATGGCAAATTGGTTGTGAGTATTTCTGTGTTTGACAGTTTGTGCCTAAAGTAGAGATAACAGGGTGACACCCTTGTTAAAAAAAATTTGTTCTTTGATATTTCCAGCAGTCTTTTGTCCATCAATCTCAGTCATCTGGAGCCCTTGATTATTCAAGGACTATTCAACTTATCTTTGACTAACGACTATGTTAATTTGCTAAAGAAATTAGTTTTCATAGCTAAACAAAACCTGAGTGCTGCAGATATACCGTGTGTCTTCATATTTTTGTGTGTTTATGTTTGAGAGAAAAACTGTAAACGCGTATGGATCGTATTCCCATCGGTCCTCATTTCATTCAATTCATGGCCACTTCTTAGACATTTTTCTCCCAAAGAATGATTGTTTCTCTCATGATCAGGTTGTCTTTTCTGATCCTCTGGGAGCAGTTTGGGAAACAGTGTCAGCTGTGTATGAGTGAGAAATATTGAACCTGTGCTTCCTGCACTTTCTGCCTAGTCTGCCTGACACTTTTAAAATCGAATAATCTTGCCTTCGGAAACTTCGACTCCAACACAGAAGAAATGCTCAACGAACAAAGAAATACTGTATACTGAATGACAACTGTTCAAACTGTGGGCAGATCTTTTTGAATATACATGTTCTTACATCTTCACTGAGGGACAATTTCAAACAGATAACAAAAGCAATCCCCCATTTTCCTTTTAGCAAACACAAAGCAGGATATGACGTCAATGAACTCTGAATCTAAAGAGAATGTGAAGCAACCATTAGGAGGAAAGAAACAGCACAAGTATACTTCCATGAGAATACTGAATGATAAAATGTACAGAATGTCTTCATTTTTTCAATCAAAACCAGCAATGCGTACCTTTGATTCTTTTATCTCATAATGCCCTAGCTCTAGAACATCTTCTCACACTCTCTGAAGTCACAGTATTTTTCAAGACAAAATCATATCTACAATAATCAGTATTTGTTTTTAACCATAATGGAAAAAGTGCCCCCCCCTCCCTCCCCACCCACGCCCGCCCCGGCTCCTCCCCAAGGATGGGTTTCTAAAAATGAAATGAGAGGAGAAAGGAATTTAAGTTTGCGTTGACTCTGGTCGGGAATGCAGCGATCAAACATCCCATCCATGCGGCCTCTCCATTGAGGGCCGTTGGGCCAGAACCGATGTCTGATAAAGAACGATAACACTTCAAAAAACCCAAGAACAACACATAGTCCAAACAAGGTTGCTGTACATAGTAGAACCGGAGGTTTCTGTGCACGTTATCCATGAGTAATGGCCGGGGGTGGATTGTGGGGATGGGGTGGCCGTGTTGGTAGGTGAAGTCAGCAGGGGTGGGGGTGGGTGGGGGGGGGTCAGGGGAGGGGGGAGTGCCAAGGATCTCACTCAGCTGATGCCTGAACAGACAAGCCACCACTAATTCATGAGCTGCAGAAGAGGATTTTTTTTTTTTTTTAGTACAATAAGTATCAATAAAAAGTCAATGGGACTCTGAGACACTTTTTCTCTCTCGGGAGCTTTCCACTTTCTCTTTTCTTCTTGTTTTTTTTCTTTTTCTTTCTTTTTTTTTTAGCAAAAATATCATGCAGTCTTTAGTTCCAAAAATCCCTTGGTGGGATCTCTTGTTTGCTTGTTTGTTTGTTTGTTTGTCTGTTTGTTTCAGGAGGAAAAAGAAACTCAAAGCCTTGAAATTCTTCTCACACAGGTATTCTTAAACATTCAAGTCATCCTGGTAATACTTTGTACAGCAGAAAGGTCCTTCAGATTTCACATGTGTATATATAAATATATAGAAATATGCATATACATATGTTCAACTTGTATATGTGTATACATATTTTGGAACTGTATCAAAGCCAATTTAATGTGCTCTCAAAATATGGCCCATGATTCCTAGTGGGATGCACATCAATTCACATAGTACAACCAGTAGACTAGGTTGAAAAATCCAAAGGTGATAGGGAAAATGACCCGGGACCACTTGTCGATGGTGCTAACATCTGACAGGTTGGGGATTTTCAACTTGAGCTTGGAGGAGCGTCGTCTTAGCCGACAGTTGGCCCGGCTCCGCATGGCGCTCCTGTCCAGTGAGTGGTGGCTGTAGCCATCTCGGGGCGCCATGGGCTTCCTGAACTGGACCCCGGAACTGTCAAAGGACATGACGGAATTCCGAGAGTCACCGATGCTGCTCCCCACGTCCGAGGGCATCACCTCATTGTTCATGTCCAGAGGCGTGAGGAGGATGTTTCCATAAGCATCCACCTGTGAGGAAAAAAGAGCAAGAGAAGGAAAGTCAGGGAGGGCTGAAAGGCCAAAAAGTGCCCCAAGACCTTCTTAAAATTAATATTCTTACCCCCCCTCCCATCCCTCGAACTGTAAAATTTAAACAAAATGTAGGGATGATATGGAATGTAACATAAATAGTTAGCTGGAGCTTTTTCTTAAATAGACACATCTTCTTTTCATTTACAAAAAAAGTGACAGGTAATCTAGTATTAATTATCTGAATTTACAGTGAGGGGTGGCCTACAGCCGATATGATTGCTGAATAAATGTACCCCAACTTTTCTTTGTTCCTCGAGATACAGATTTCTTCGCTGTGTAAATGACCTGAAGGTGTTGGTTTGAAACGGCACGGAAATGGAGTCCTTGCAATGTGAAAGAAAAATGAAGAGAACATTAAAACGAGTCTAAAACACAAGCAGATCAGCACATTTTTTTGAATCACAGAGCATATGACAAAAGGTTAACAGGAACAGATTGTGATAGCATTTAATACCTCACACAGAGAACAGAGGGGTTTAATTTAGGATGACCATGTTAGCAACTGCCTTTGCCAAAATATAGAATGTCCTCATATTCATTATCGTCCATTGAGATGTTTTCTTTGATTTATGTCTTCAAATACAAGGCAGCAGAATCAGCGTGAATAAAGCCTACAGCATCAACATAGACAACAATCTAAATAAGAAATGAGAATGCTTACGTCACTGTTGAGTTAGATGAATAGGTATTTCAATGGAAAAGGCTATGCTCGATAAAAGCAGTCAGTGCTTGAGGGATAAGCAATGGATGATGGTGGGTGAATGCATATTGGGCTGTTCTGGCATCAGTGTGCATGTAGAAGATTACTTCAGGGACTAGTGTTTATGTGCGTTTGAACAAAATGACTACAGACAGAAATCTAATGCTCAGAACATGGTTGTTTTCTTGTTGAACTTTGACTAACACAGTGAAGTCAAGTTGAAGAGAGACAGAAGAAGGAGATCCAAACCTGTTCCCTCAGGCGTTTCTCTTCGTATCTTGTGCGCTCGTTGTTGACTTTGTTCAGCCTCTCATTGATTTTCTTCTGTTGCGCAGGGCCCCGGCCAAAGAACACGTAATTTACAAAGGCATATTCAAGCAGGGCCAGGAACACAAACACAAAACAGCCCATGAGGTAGACGTCGATGGCTTTCACATATGGAATCTTTGGGAGAGTCTCCCTAAGGTGGGTGTTAATTGTGGTCATGGTAAGCACCGTTGTCACACCTGAGTGTAGCAGCACAGAGAGAGAATAGATTTGCCGTTAGAAACAGAAGTAATTGTATTTGCTTGATCTGTTCAATAATGGTAAATAAGTTTTCTTTGAATGGTTGGAAATGTCATGAACTGATTTTGGATACATTTTTTAAGCATCTTTTTTTTTTTTTTTTTCTGGGGCAGGAATGATTGCATGAGAAGCTCCAATGTGCATCTAAAAAGCTTATTACAGAGCATTCAGGACAAAGTATGAACCCTGAGGAAATCAGTTTCTTTAAACAACAGTTTGCATCAACCACAAAGACAAAAAAAAAGAATCTGAAGTGCAAGATTGGACAAAAACACAAGGCGCTTCGCCAGAAAGAGCAAAACATAGTTTTTCCGAAACTATGACTGCACCAACACTTAGCCACGGTGGTGGTGGAATCATGCTCGGGGGCTACTTTATAACCACTGGAACATCTGAAACTTTACATGAGGATTTCAAGCATCAGCTGGCAACTATTTGGACAGAATTAGGCATTCTGATATACTGATGGTCAGGAAAATACTTAATTCTGTTTGGAGAAAATTTGCTTTATCTTCAGTACACATCAAAATATTCCTGGAGATACGTCATTGCATATCAAACCTTGGATGGCTGGGATTTTTGGGCCCTCGGCCAGCACTACAAACCAGACTGTCATGGTATTCACTGCATGGGCTCAGAAAAACTACAAGAAGCCATTGTCATAGCTCTCTGTGCTATCTACAAAAACCCAGTTAAAGCTTTATCTTGCAAAGAGGAGGCCATATGTGAATAAGTTCCTGCCATCTTCACTGGGTCATCTAAAATGGAATAAAGCAAAGTGGAAAACTGTGCTTTGGTCAGTTTAATTAAATTCCGACTTCTTTAAAAAAAAATCATGGATGCAACTTCCTCTGGCGGAAGAAGACAGGAACCATTCATCTTGTTATCAGCACTCAGCTTAAAAGTCCTCATCTCTGATGGCATCATAGTGCATTAGTACTAAAGGAATTGGCAACTTGCACATACAGTGAAAGCCCGTCATTACTGAGAAGTACATACAGGGTTTAGAACAATGTGCGCCCCTATACAGACAACAAGACAATGCCTAAGCACACACAGCATCTATTCTAACGGCATGATTAATTAGGAGAGAGGACGAACTGCCCAGTTACAATTCTGAGGTGTTGTCAGTTAATTAAATTATATTAGTTAGATTAATTACAGAACACTGCTCTTGCTGTTTCCTTTTTAGTGCTACAGACATTTTCAGCCTTTTATTGCTCCTATACCAGTATTTAAGAAATGTGTTGCTGCCATCAAATTCAAGATAAACTAATATATCAACTGTGAACTGGGTCACTTTTTTAATACACTCTACAGTGGATAAAGTATTAGCTTAAGAAATATGTAAATCTTTTTTTTTTTCTCTTACATTTTACACAGTACTCTAGCTTTTCTTTTGTTATTTCAGTCATGACTTGTGTTTACATTCTTACCCTGCTGCTACTATTTCCCTCTCAAGACACTAGCTAATTTGCGGGAACATCAAACTGAAGAAAAATAAATTCGGAAAGACAAATATGGGCAAATTAAAGCAGTTGTGTTGCTTGTAACCTGAAGATTTGGCATTGTTCAATTGTCTTTGTGTATGTTAGTGCAGAAAAAGTGTACAGAGGCAATTTAAACGTGTCACAGCTACATGTTGTTCATTCCTGTGATAATGAGAAGGCTCTTATGGGGAAGTTAGAAATTTATTAATGCAGCAATGGCTGTGTCTTACCCAGGGCCACCCGAGCTGCAGAGGCATCATAATTGATCCAGAAGGAGACCCAGGAGAGGATGGTGATCAAGATGGAGGGCATATATGTTTGCAAGATGAAATAGCCAATGTTCCTCTTAATCCTGAAACTCAGCGAAAGCCTTGGATATGAACCTGTGCAGAGAGAAGATGGAGTGATAGTTTGTAAAAGGGAAGTGCACGAGTTAAAAACACATCAGTGTAGAAAGGAGAGAAGGGGAAACATCGGCACAACTCCAGAGCTCCAAAGTCTGCACTTTGACAACGCGCAGGGTAGTCATTTCTCCATTTGTTCAGATGGAGCACTTAATTTCCCCAAAGCGATGGATTCCTTTCCAGGGACAAGTTCGATTCCAATTAAACATGGCAGAAAGTCGCACACACGGCACATTTTTCTGCAACCTCCTATCTCAGCAGGCAGCCCCAGCATCCCTCTGAGAATTGTCACAGTGAGCAGCAGTGCTTTTTCTGTTGGACTTTCTCTGTCCTCTAAACATTACCAAAAGGGCATTTTAAACCTGGGTAATTGCTACTCACGCTTTCACACCGGCAGAAAAAATAGGAAAATTTACACAATAAGTCATCCATTGTGAACTCTGCTGGAAAAAATATCAGCTGGTTGTGCCAAGATGTTAATTGGCCTTTTGATTACACTTTAATTCAAACCACCATAACATTACACTGGTGATAGAAAATTCAATACAAACGCCTAGGCAGAATCTCTCTGCCATAAATAAAATGATGTTCATCAGCCTGAAAAGACGGCAGATTGTGTTCAACTCTTTTGTAAAGCCTTTGTAAATTGGTTATATAAACCTAAATTCTTAATTTCTTGACATCTCCTTACTTTGGGAACAGGAGTACAATGACAAACAAATTCATTATTTAAAGGTTCCTTTTCAGTCAATATCTGAGCACACATCTAATCAATAATTTTTTCACTCAGCTGAGTGCCAGATTAATGACGCTACAAAAGTATTTTGATTTCTCTTCATGAGAATTATACACATATTTGATTTTATAACTTTTGCTAAGGGGCAAGCAGGTTTAGATTAAATTAAATTAGAGATAAAAGTTGAAAGGCATATAATTTAACAATTTCTGTGCTTTATTTTTAATAATGTGGTTGCACTGAATTCTAATACAAAACACTAATAACAAAATACATCTTTGAACAGTTTTCTTCCTGACTATAATGAGTTTGCAGGTTGCATATATCAGCTGAATTTAGCCTCTTTATTTTTTTTGTTTTTTTCGGCTCAGCTATAGTTAAATAATAATTTATTTATTAACATGACTGATGGAGTGAAAAGGCAGTCTTCTCTTTGCAAGGCCACGTCAATACCATAATTTACGGTTACAACCTATGGACTGAAAAGTTTTTTCTGCATTGGGATGAAATGACTTTTACATATGCAGACATGAAGTCGAATTTGCCCCAAAGCCATCTTACCTGTGGTAAACCTGACCTCCCTAGACACCAAGCGAATATCCACGATGGAGAACTGAGGTAACTCTAACTTGTCTACACCTGTAACAGCGTTGTCTCCTCCTTGCCAGAAAAACACAATGTCATCCGTGGTGTATCCATCTGTATTAAGGTCAGAGCAAATGAGAGGAGAGGGGGAAATAAACGTGATGAAGTAACAACCATTAAAGTTAACCATCTTTCTATTTGAAGTCTGCTTGAGAATAGATTAAGAGTGAAAGTCACTCTCAATCTGTGCTCCGGCACCAATCTTGGTAGAGAATTGTGGAAACCATTGAATTGTGAAAAAATGGACGATATATGCATTCATCTGGATATATCATTTAACAAACTCTGTACAGCATGAAGTGTTTAAAACTTTCAAAACTCCTCAACAATGTATCCATCTTTAAAGTAAGAAAAGGGTAAGAAATAGTCAGGGAAACATGTTTCCCTTGTTAGATAAGAGTTGTTTCGCACATGTTTCTGAACAACATGCATGTGTTAACATTTAATAAATTTAGGACTTCCACCATGGAGGTTGGAGGGCAGAAGTTCACTAAAAGAAACAAAGTTAGAGGAGTTACTGGTCAGTGGGAGTGAAAAACCATCGCTTCATCATCAACACCAACATCAAAGAGAGAGAGAGAGAGAGAGAGAGAGAGAGAGAAAGAGAAAAAAAATCAATTTCCAAAAGCACTTCTGGTTAAGACTTGAATCTGTCAGCCCTCTGTAACATGCTCCACTCTCCAGACCCCCATGATGCTTTATCACAGTATGCATAACTACAATCATGAATATTAATTAACATGTGTCATATGCTATGACATGCCCACATATTCTCATCCTGCAGTGCGATTGAAAGTGACCACAGGAGTAGATTTACGTTTATAGGCTTGCATGCATTCGCTGCAGAGCTATTTCTCAGTCCGGGAAGTGTTGCCACATTTCACATTCTACTACCCCGTCCAGAACCTGGATGGCTTTAAACTTACTAAGGGACCAGGATTCATTACCATTAAATCTCTCTCCGAGGTTATAGGGTAAGGAAATGTGACATTGTCCATGAAATTGAAACAACTGCCTGCCTAATCCATCAAAGTGATGGTTAATGTGCACAAGTCACCAGTGCATGGCATTCCATGACCATAAGCAGCAGATTTTCTTGCAGCTTTTTAATTCACGGCCTTTCCATATTTCATTGTTTACCTCAGTGCTCTGGGGGAAACAAAACAAGAACCAAAAAAATATCTAATGTATTGAGTTGGTATGTTTGATTAATGGTGTAGTCAGAAAAAAATGATCAAGTAACTACAGTTTCTAATTAAAGCACCTTTTTTTCTAAGGTAACGATAGCTAAAGCATATGATTTCCTGAGGCATTCTTACAATGTGCAGGCGCTCTTATGGAAAAAAAGAACCGAATCTCTGGAGATCTGAATTAGCTATTACTTAGCTTATTATGCCACTATATCAAAGACATTTTTTAGGGAAGATGAAAGTATGGTATCTTGATAAAAAAGCCATTTTTCTAAGAATAAAACATATTCTAAAGTGTTGCACACCATAACCTGAACATTCCTGTTAGACAGGAAATGTTGAAATCACATTATTTGTTGAGTGCAATGTGCAATGTAAATAATGTAAATGTAAATAAAGTTAAATAACTAAAAGCAGCAGCTCGTAAACACAAAGAGGTCAGACTGAGCTAAAAGTTCATTCTCTTTCCCGCTGCGAGGGCTGATGCCTACGGTACAGTCAAAAGTAGCGAAGGAGCACGATTATCTCAGACTCGTGATGATCAGGCATGTTGTCATAGTGACTCCTTTCCTCTGGGAGACGGAGGCATATTGGACCGGTGTGTTTCACAGATGATAAACCTGCTACCGAGCCCGGGAAGGAATATTCGACTTGTTGTCGACCTGCATTAAACAAAAACACCTCTCAATACAATATTAGACCTTTTGAATAGAAATATCTCCAAAGCAACAAGCGTAAGGTCTTTTTAACTAACTCAGCAAGAAGGATATTAATGTTATTAATCTGCCTCTATGTGCAGGAGATCGAAGGGTGGCATCTGTCACCCTGAGGGAATGGTAATCCAAGCTCTTCTCCAAGCACGGGTATTTTCTCTTACCATATTACTATAAGCACTGTCAACTCCTAATTGTAAAAGATGAATAACCAGCAGAAGAGCTATGCGGGGATCATAAGCGATACATTTAATAGGGTTATCTTTGTTGTAAGCGATGAAATTATCTTACAGCTTTCAATTTCCAAGGTGCAGTTCTGCTCATCAAGTGGGTACCTCCTTAAGTCCATCATACAAGCAGCAGTAGTTGTTATTCTGAGGACAAAACACAGACATAAAAGGCCTGTATTATTAAAAGCATGACATTTCTTTCATTTTTGGTATAAAGTTGAAAACATGAAGTCGGAGCCACAGTTCAGCATGAACTCCTGGTGACAGTGCATCCAGTACTCAGGAGTAATTATTTTTTCGTTGTTAAAAATGAATGAATGCAGTAGTTCAAGAGTGCACGGTGAGCTTTGCTACTTAAAGCACAGTAAGCACGTAGACATTACATGATTTTAATGTGTCTTAAAATGTTTCTACCCTTTAAGGGTCAAATCTGAGTAAGAGGCATGTATTAGAAAAACCACTGATCTCTTCCAGTTAAATACAAACCTTTTTCAACACATTTCAACAAACTGTCAAAAAAGATTTACATGTTTTTTTTTTTTTTGTTAATGAAGACTCCAGGTATGTTAATCTTTTTATTTGGATCATTAACCGCTCGGCCTTAGATGTAGTTTATGTGCCTTATTTATTTCAACAGCCTGGATATTACTTTCTGCCAGGTAACTTTAGCAAAAGATGTATGTAAAGCATTTTATTAATATCAATAAATCCAGTGGCTCGGGAAAACAGCTTTGGCAAGATGCTACACATGCAGGGTCTTTTGCATTTAACGGAGATATTTACTGGTGCAGCACTTTTTACAAATTATGCTTCTGCCTTCTGCACCAGCTGGCATGTGTGCATCGTCCCACCATGATCATGCTGTCACTGCCCGTTCATGTTAATAAAACGGAAAAATGAGTTTTTAGGACCTTGTCTTTGTGACCAAAGTCATGAACACTTCTGCAGACCAAGTTTAATGTGCACAATATGCATCTTTGTCGAGTGGTAGAACATGATGTTCCATCTTTCAGGATTCAAAACATTGTGGATCGTGAGAGTCACAACTGGCACCACAGAGTGTGTTATTCCCATTGTTGCAGAAAACAAATGCACACGCTCATCTACAAGCCCCACAGTTTAGTAATGCAGCAGGTAATAAGCTGTTTGTGCCGGAGATGTATTGTTTCGATGCAGAGTCTGTAAATTGGTCACGGTGGTGTGACCAGAGTTATGTCGGAGTGTAATTGTGAAAGGAAATATGCTCTGCTGAAGCTGATTTGGTCAGATTAACAGAAAGCCATAAAGGGCTTCCGTGTCCATGACGGCAGAGGGCTGTATGTGGAGTAAAAACAATTATACATGAACAAAGACCGTGGCTGGTGTGCGTTGACTGAGCTGCATTGTGCTGCACCTCCCTGCTGTCTGGAAGAACAGCTCTGCCAAGAGGCAACAGCAACGCTCCGACTCTTACACGCTGTGTGACCAGATAACATCTCACCTAATTCAAATGGAACAAATTTCCCCACAATTATGTGGCTTTCTTTCAACATTAGCTAATTCTGTTGTGCATACTTAATATAGATGGGCTGGGTCAGATTTCACTGGAACAAAGTAAGATTTCTGCTATGAACAGGTTATATTGGATGAATGAAGACACACCAAACTGAAACAAAAGACGGATATAGGACAACCCATTGAAACCTACACCGATTAAACGTGGCCGTAAAGTAAATACGTTTAATAAGCTTAAATGGATTATCGTGACATAACTCAAACATAATTCTCTTACTTCACAGAAGTGCCTAATGCTGAAAAAAAGGGTAAAATGACGTGTTATGCTAGGATGTTTCCGTTTCACCCATAGATCAAATGCTTAAACTGATTCCTTTGAAGACTTTTTTACAGACAATGTTTTCCATCCTTTCCACGGCTTCTTTCCTCATATCTGACATTTTTCCTAACAAACACGGCCAGTTGTGCCAATCAAGTAGGAAAAGTTTAACATTGACAACTTTAAAGGTAGGATTGTTCATTAGGATGGAAATAAAAAAACTCATCAAACTTACATGAATATTCATACCTTGATTCAACAGTCATCTGATTTAAATGTCATCTGAAAAAATTCTGTCATATCAAATCATTTTATGTTGGTGTCTGGAAAAAAAATGCAAATGTTCCGGGGTCCACATGGGAATTCAAACCACAAAACAAAGGCAGTGTCACGACCAGATGTGGAAAAGCACAGGAAGTGAAAAATGGAGCCAAATTAGAATATGGAAGAACTTAGTGGTGCTGTCTCAAAGTTTTGTGTATTCTATGATTATAAACTGGTCAACAGATCCTAACAAGAAATGGTTCTTTAAACAGTATCTCAGGTGCGTCCGCATGGTGTGGAGTTTAAATAATAAACCAGCTGCAGCTCAATGGACAGAAATGAATTCTTGGCCCCCTTTGGCAAAAAGCACACTTGAAATAAGATTGACTTTATATTTGGCAGTTAACAAGTCAGGAGAGAGTCATCACTCGAGTAGGCACGAGCAGCGATGGCTCACAGCGAGGGATGGGGATTTGAAAATGTCAGCAGATGTAGGTCAGCAACTTCAACGGTCCCCCCAGAGATGATCAGCAGCCTCAGACCTGAGCCGGCTCAGCAGCCCAAAGATCAGCTGTCTGCGTTTGCTCTGGATGTATTGATGTTTTGCTTGTCTGAGAGAAGTCCAAGTCATCGAATCAGGAAGACAAAGCGTAAAAACAGGAACTGATTGGCAGTCCTCATGGTCAAGGCGGCGAAAGAACAAAAAATGGGAGTTATGGAGTCCGCTTGTTTAATTTAATTCAGTCCCATTCAGTTTGATCGGTCTGGTGCCAATTTAAGCAAATAAATAACTGGACTCTGTCTGACCAAGCGTCATGCCAGCAAAGACAACAACTAAGGCAATATGGAGGTGGATCCCAGAGGCTCGCCACTACAGACAGGGAGGCTTTTAGATCCGTGAGCAATACTTTTGACGCCTACACAGTCTACTCCTGCATCCCTCTCTGCGTTAGCTGGCTCACTGAGGAAGATCACTGTACTATCACAGCACTTGGCTTAATAAACAGAGGAACAAGAGAGAGCAGAGTCACAGGAATTGGAGAAGAGAGAACACAATCTGGCGAGAGCTTAGCTCAACAAAGCCCTCAATGCTCACAGGGCCCAGCACACTATCAAACCAGCTTGTCAGGCAGTTAGTGATGATTCAGCTTCTCATTTTACCGGCAAGTTAGAAATACCTGCCCCACACTTTTTCACTGAGTCTGACTTCTTTAGGTGATGTTAAAAAAGTATATTAAGAAATTACCAAGATGATTTTCTGCACCTTACAACAGATTCTTTTAACTTCATGTCAGAGTTGAAGCAATATTTAGGGTCAGGAGCAGTTAAGCACTTCATAGACAATAACGGACACTTTAACACAAAGCATTTGCCTTCAAAATCTATTGTAAGTTGAATATCAGTGTTATAGTAACATGCTGACTTCCAGTGTCATTTCCACTATTTGCATGTGAGGATTTTCTTCCTCATATGGTCCTAAAAGCCATTTTTAAAAAATCAATAGGCAGACAAACAAATTATATTTGTGTGAAAAACTTCACAGTAGTAATTTCTCTTAATTGTCAGTGATACACATATATATGTGTGTCTATACAGAGATGAAGAACGTTAAATACAAAAGTACAAGTCCAAAATTAAGCATTGGGATCCACATTCAAAATTAATTCACACTCGAAATTGTGATTGTCAATGAAACCTGACACAGTTTGCACAGTTTGAACATTAATCTGGCAGAATAAACACATCAGAGCGGGCACCATTCAACTCTCAGAGCCAGATCAATGGCTGAAAAAATGCTGTGAAGTGCAGAGACTGTCATCTTGTACTTAAAATGGATGTAAAAATAGATCCGGGTGATCAACACTACGCACTTTAAATCCCAGTAAGAGGTAAAAGATAAATCAAGGCTAAAAATAAAGACACACCAGCACATTTCACAGTGAGTGGACAGAGCTCTGCACAAGGTGCATTATAGTTTGTTAAGTGATTGAGATCAGTTTATGTTCCGCCGTGCACACGAGAGGCACGGGGGACAGATTTAAACAGCGTCTCTTAAAATGCACAGAATACAACAAAAAGCCCTGGCAGCCAGACTTTAATGCCACAACACTGAACTGAACTGAACTGAAATATAAACATCTATTGTTAGTTGCGCCTTTTGTTCTAGGATAAAAAAGGAAAGGAAAAAAAAGAAAAGAAAAAAAGGACCACACAACCCTGAGGCAAAGTCAAACATTTCAACAAAGCAGTTTAATTATATGCTTGCAGGAGGCTTGTAAAGGTCCTGGAATCACCACTGGATGTGGATTATGTGATTCCTCTAATTACAGTATACTGCTGAAAAAATGCTCTCTAGGACAGATCCAAGGGCTCGATGCCATCTGCCATACAAGTACTGCAGTGTCGTAATGATCACCACCAAATAGTCCCGTTTAGATGGCTTAGTCCTATTCATATCATTATTTATTCACTAACGCCTGACTGTTCTTTTGTTTATTTGGTAATCTCACCAAATCGTATCTGGAAAACATCGAGCTCTTCTATGTTTGAAGATAACATGTAGAAATGGTTGACGCGGCCGTTCTTTACAGACATCCGCTTCACGCCTGCATCCAGCCGGCGGAGAGGCGAAGGCAGGTCTGTTGCTCGTACCTCTCCAGCTCCAGAGGAACGGGCATCTGCTGGTGTGCGCCGGGTGGAGCAGCTGGGAATGTTTATTCAGATCAGATGGCGCTGCGTAATTTAGCACCACTTTGGCATTAAATTCTCCTGAGATTCCACCCGCTTTAATTGGCAGTGGCACGAGGTTTTTTCAGTTTGAATACATCGAAAAACGCCTTTAAAGACGACACACATTTCAATGCCACACCATGAAATTTAACCAGAGTTGGCACTTCTTTTTTGTTGCTGTCATCTTAAAAACGGCTTAAAACATGTGTGATGTTTTAGATCAAGCAGATGCTGGAGCGAGGAGATGGAAGCTGCTCTGGTTTGCCTTCCTAACTTTCACATCCCACTGTACCATTTCATGATATATTCTTTGTAATTATGTTGGTTGGGTGTAAGTATACCAGTCTGGTAACCAGATAAAATTAGTGTGCCACACAGATGAACAACTGTCCCCTCAGGATAAGGCAAAGTCGTCCTTCTCAGATGGTTACTCACCACCTCGAAACCATAGAATATGCATTTCTGTTGGACTTTGGAATCGATGATTGTATTTAAAAGTTTCTGAATTCTGTTTTCTGCATTAATCATTTCTTACCTCATGTGATCTAAACTTAGTCAGTGCTATTTTGGTTGATCTATGGAACAAAACATGCCCCCAGCTTCCGTGCCTCCAATCATGCAACTTCATCAAAATGACATGTTTATTAAAAGCAGTAATCCATTCTGAGTTTTTACTTTTAGCAGGACCCAAGGGACTCTAAATGTGTCCGTTGGTGCACTTTGGCTGGAGACTAAACTGTCAGGCTTGTCAGTAATTTGGGAAATGGGAGGCGGCGGATATTTCAAAATCTTTTTTTAGCCTCATAGGGTCATTGAACCTTAGCGTTAATGTACTGTTGTATTAACTCTGTGTCTTCAGTCACATTTGAAGACCTTTTTTGTTTGATTCTGAAACTTCAGACTGTTTTTCAAAATTGTTTTGTTACCAGAAATAAAACTGTCAGACACCGTCGTGTCCCAGGGCAAAATCAAAAATACTAAAAGAACTAGTCTTGCTTTTGTGGAGCTACAGGTGAGGTCATTAAAGACTATATGTGTGTTTTTTTAAAAAAAGTTTTCAGTCAAAATGGCCCATTTTTCTTGTGTTTTACAAATGTAGTCAAATTGAAACTTGGCTTCAGTGTGCAAGAAACATCATTCTTATATCACTTTTTCTTTTATTTAGTTTGTTCATTTAAGGTTTCATCATCCTGTATTATTAAAGGCATGCAACACTTTCCTATCAATATTTAACATGACCACACCATCTTAGCAGAACACTGCTCATATATTATGTTGTTGCATTTATGCGCCGATACCACTGAAACAAGTTTTCAGACATGGGATTCTTACACCCCCGGTGGGTGTTTGCTTAATACAATCTATGAAAACATGTCCTCCCTTTTATTCAGTTTGAATTATTTTTTTCACCTTGGCTTCAGCCAGTCTTCAGATGGGAGCAGGTATCATAGCTAAGAAGTGAGGACCAGGCATTAAAACTGTCACCCGACAGCGTGGCGGTGCTCTTCATACATATTAACGCAAGCATTTGCTCAGCCATTTGCTCAACAGATGAACATGCTTCTGGGGAAAATGATATTTTTAGCAAAGTTGACACGTATTTTAAATCAATAGTGTTGGACCTCCATTTCCCACCAAACACTTGTGATGCTTTGATGCTTTGCCTTAAAATGGACTCGGCATCAAACATTTCCATCAGAAAAATGCAGATTGGCAAACTGCATTGAACCTGTATTAAAGAATATCCAGGCTGCATAAAATATCAGATGCTGCGTGCAGTTGGAGGAGAACAACAACGTGTGTGTTTGTCTTTAAAGAACTACACAGTCCTTTAGCTCTTTCTCATTTACTACTGATCACCTTCTAAGAGTGTATGGTGTGCGTAGAATGAAAACACCCCAATTAATTATTTCAGAAACAGGATCTTGGGAAACAGAACAGTTCTTCCAAGCTGATACAGAAAACAAAGAAAAAGAAATACTGGTGTAAAAGCATCTGCTCCTACCTCAGCCCGTACAGGACGGTGCCATCGGGATGTAGTCGGATCATACGGTTTTTGACCGTCACGCCATGGAGAAAGGACTTTTTGTCATTAAGGAAGTAGGTGTCAGGGAGCCAGAGCTGGTCTGCTACACGGTTGTCAAGAGTCAGGTTTAGGTTCAGTTCACCATAGGCCAAACGCTTATCTCGCCAGCTCTGCTGGAAATACATTGTGATGGTGTAGTCCTGTGGGGAAGAACGAGGGAGGGAAAGTGAAATGAAATCACTTGCAACCAAAAAACAACAACAAAAAAACCCACATACTGATCAATTCAGTGTATCTTTCTGGTCAGATGCATCTGTTACCATTTTAATTTAGTGTTTCTTGGTACTTCCAGTCAAAATGAATTTATATAGAGAGAAGAGATTGTCTTTTCAGTCAGGTGGCATCTTTGAATTTATTCGAGTTGATTTATTATCAGAAAACAACAAAATAAAAAATGTCATTAGCAATGAAAAAGGAAGAAATTGGTGTAAATTATCAAAATTAACTTTTTTATTCAATGTTTTACCCCATTGTGTAAAAAGAAAACATAGAGACAGGTGAAGATGTCACACTGATGGGGACACAATAACCAGTAATGCATCCAGAAAGTAAATACTTAACGTTAAAATTACAATACTCTATAATACTTTTTATATCATATTTGAGAAATACAGTTTTTGTAATCTTTTGAACTTAAAATCTAATGTAAAATGTAAAATCTATTTTGTTAGAGCCAATTAAAGACCTCAGACCAAAAAAAGGAGCAATTTTTCACTCCAGTTTTTCTTGGATCGGGCTTTAAAGGGTAAAGCAAAAAATCTTTCCTGTGCATCATGATTTATTCTTGAAGACTATGGTGATAAACAATTCCTGAACACTTCAGAGGAAGAAAGAGGGAGAAAAGCCGCTGCGTGCGGGGCTGAGCTGTGCTGAGACTGCCATGCTGAGTGGAATAAAGCCAGAGCTAAGAGTGACGTCAATGCTCACACATCGGCCATATTGCATTTTTCTCAGCTCAGCCTGTATTTCTGACTGTAAGCAAGTCACAGCGATTGTGCTGCGACTTACTCATATGCTAAAGATGGAAAAACGAGGAAACCACCAGGTTATGTTTACACTCATCAGCTGGATCAGCTTCATTCAGGGCACCAACGTGTGAGCATTGTCTCTTTGCTGTTGCACTAATAACACCCTCTGGTTAGTCGCCATCAGCGCTTTGCGGTGCCCGTATGGATGAATGTGTACGTCCTGTGTGTTACTGAGCAGCAGAGGCAGGGACGGTCCCTCTGCACGACATGTATAAAGTCAACAGTGGCAGAAACTGCACGGTGCTGCTGATCTTTGAATGTTGGCGGAAAACACGACAACTTCACAGAAACAAAAAGACTGAACTCACCATGTTTACTTCTGAAATGGAGTCAATACTAGCTATGTTGATGCTCATTCCAACGATGACTGGAGGACCTGAGGGAACAAAGGACAAACGGAAATCACCAAAAAATAAATGAATTAAAGAATCCCAAAATAGGTAAAAGCTATTTCTTCTGTTAAATTTCTCATTCTTCCACTTTGGAGCCGAAGTACTACTTTGAAAAACCCATTATCATGTACACATTAATATTGGATTCTGTATTCTTCATTGCCTTTAAAATATATTGTGCGTCTCAACTCATATTCAATTAATTTATCAGCCCTCCAACAGTCCTCTCTGAAAGAGGAGCATTAGATAGAAGATATAGCTTCTACGTAGATATAAAATGACATTTTAAGCCAATTATGACTCAATTGTAAAAGCTACTTGGTATATAGTATATTAGAGAGAGTGCATAAAAAATACAGTGCAAAGATCAGTTACTCTCAGAAGCATACCCTCAGCACAGAGAGAATGCACTCATCCATACTAATTTTTAGGCTTGCAACCCTTGAAGAGGAACAGGGAGAGCAAACTATGCCTCATTTACATGATTAGCAGTACATGCTGTCAACATGTAAGCAGCTACACATGATTTTTCTTACACGTAAAACAACACGCCGCCCACCTCAGTATTCAAATTCTAGGTTTTTCAGGGATAATCCATTCACAGCAACTTCCGCCACAGTGTGAATGCATTGTGTCTGTAACCCAAACCCACAATAATATGCCGGCATACAGCACCATCGCAAGTATAAGAATTTATGAAATATGCAGAGGAGAGGGCTTACTTATCACTTTAAATAATTGTGATGATAAATTACCGCAAACCGTGTTCAAGGTGTCTGGACCTTGCTTACATACAGCCTATTTAACTGTTCATATCAGCTCTTGTAAGACTGAGTGTTATCCCCGCAAACTTTGAAAATTCAACATTACAGCACAATCACGGCTGAAACTCACCAAGAAATATGCAGATTGTTCCTTGGTTCCTGAAACCCACTTTAGCTGAGGTCAGAATTACAGATTTTTTGGATTGAACAGACTTAATTGCCACTGACTCACAGTGTCTTTTCAATACAAATGATTTCTGTTTCCTTCCATGCACACAGCTCACCTGAACACCTTGCCACATTCCTTTTTATCCCTTTTTCTTCGACTGTCACCTTTACTTTGCTTGATCAGGCTGCGAAATACGAATTGCTGACTTCGGAAACAGAAAGTGCACAAGTGACTGGTTCGTGAGGCGAAACTGAATCAGTAAACTCTCATAATATTCTTTGGTTTTAGAGTGGAAATTGAAATTTCATACGAATCATAAACAACACAGAAGCAGCTGCGCTGCAGAACAGCATATCACATAAATCATCAAACTTACAAAAGAATCCGAGCCATAAACTTCACCTTCAATGGAAAAGTGTAATGGGTATATGATTGCATTGCTGCACATGTTTATTGCTGCTTTTCCTATTCCATTTCTCCAGAACTCTTTCCCTCTGCTGCTCTAAATCTAGATCCTTTCCAGTGTCACATTATGCAAATTAACAGCATGAGAGACGCTGAAGCTCAATCAAGTGTAGAACTGTATTTATATCGTTGTGATAAGAAAATAGTTGAAGGCCTGAGCTTGACTCCACTATTTCAGCTTCATAAACATGTAATTATTTGGAAAATTAATCTATAAAAGGGGCATGCATCTGTCAGCCATATTTATTCAAAGAGAAACCTGTCCTGATGATATTTTTGATGATATCACCATAGTGTCAGATGGGGCCCAAAGCAGACTTTCTTTTATCTTTTTACTTTTTTGTTCAGTGTGTTGTAAGATTGAGCGTGCATGTTTCAGAACAAGGTAAGCACCTTTGCAGGCTGTTGTTACCGACAGACTATCAGGTCCTGCTGATGGAATGCGTTTGCTCGAAAAACCACACTCAGATTTTTTTTCTATCTGGCCAGAGCAGTCAGTCAGATTTGCTTCTGACTCCACTTAAAATACAACGCTTTGAAATGCAAAATGAATGGAAATATAATTAAGACAGCTGCTGGAGACAGCAGGAGTCACAGGGATGTTTATGGACGGCAGAATTGAGAACTCCTAAGGGTTTTTAACGGTGTATAAAAATCATCATATAACCCTAATCTGTCCAAATGCCATCACCATCCTGAAATAAAGTGTGTATAAAAAGTCTGCCTGACTACACATAGGATAACTGCATAAAGCCATATATGCATTCAAAGCCAAAATTCACCTCTCCAAACATTCCAGTCCAAAGCTGTAATAACAACATAGATTCACATATTCTATTTCTGGCTCAGATTACGAAGTTAGCATGACGCTAACTGTGCAGTCCACTGTACAAAACAGGACTTAAATGAACACATTTGAAGAAATTATGTTTGAAAATGTTCCTAAAGTTCTGCTTTTAAGTGCTGATGAACTGAATTCTTTATTTTTTCATTTTCATTGGTCCAACCATCAATTGTTTACAGAGTGAGGACATCTCAGTGTATCCCAGCGCTCCACAAATTAATAAAAAGTGGACTGGAAAGAAAGTATAGGGTCCAAGCACCCACAGCAATTCAGAACCGAGTGCTCACTGACCCAGCGCCACAGAAATCCAAGACCATTCTTGAATATGGCTCACAGAAAAGGCTTAACATGCAGTTGTGTGCATGCTTGGACAGGCTCAGACAACCCCCTGCAGGGCACAGTGCCAGGATCCGGCTCAGCTCGGACCACAAGGATTGTTCACTTTGGATTAAAGTAATATTTTATTGATCCCCGAAGGGATATTAGGTTAAATAAATGATTGATGATTTGAATAAAACAAACACAGAGATAAGTAAGTAGATGAACAAATATCCACTTTAAAATGTTATTATGTAACAGTCTATCTGTGGGCAAGAACCACCCAGTCCTGCTCCTTATATCAGCAGAGCTGGAGAAGCCTCTGACTGAACACCCCAACTGTTATTGGATTAATTGTTGGAGAGGGTGTGCAATGCTGTCAATAGTGTAAACTAAATACTTTTTGGTATATTTGTTATATTTTTGTTATATTTGTGACATATTTTGTAAATGAAAGCTTTGTTGAGATGTTGTTTCTGAGTTGTTCTCCAAACCAAACTTTCTGGTTCTGTTCTCAAGATTTTAGGCTCAGTAAATTCTCCTGACTGCATTGATTTATGGAATATGTTTTAATACAGTTTGAATCGACTGATCAGCCACTGTTGTATGTATCACAGTACACATATTGGAATCCGACCCATCTACTCTAAGTGACTCAAAGATAATTTATTTTGATGCATCTCCTCCTATGCATTATGTTTCTCTTCCAAAGCATCTGCAACATTAACCTGCTTAGCACTCAACTTAAATGACCCGTCTCCTCTCTCCTGTACCCTGATCTGTTTCCTACTCTGACTAGCCCCACTGAGTTAAATACTCTACAGAATTTACATATTTCCTGACCCATTTCCTGACTCTCTCAAAAAGAAAGAACTGAGATTGAAGGGTGCACTGTTTTTCATTACCCTTTGTGAAAGCAAATAAGGCAAACAACAGTTTCCCCAAGAGATGTAAATCACATAGATTCAAAAGGCAAAAACAGAAAGCACTAACCTAAAGTGTCTGCATATTTTGACCTTGCTTGAGTAACAAAAGAGTTGACCACTTTGCGACTGTTTACTCAAATTAATCTCACCACTTGCACATGTGCCTTTCAAGTAGGAGGAAAAATAAGATTCCTCTAAAAAAGGGTTCAGGTTTTTAAATAATCCAGTTCTGGTACATTCTCCCCTGACATTTGCCGAGAAAAAAATGTTTCCCCTCATTTTTCATGTCTTGGTTGTTTTTATTTCATTTGAAGTAATACAAATAACTGATCAATACAACTTGAATTTAGGTCACGTTTTCATCCGTCTTTGTGTCGTTTTATCAGACGAATTTAAACAGAAGAAAAGAGCATCTGCTGACAGAAAGACATCATTATGATCCGCAGCAAAGCATATTGTCTCTGAACAATTATCAAGCTAGTGTTTAAACCTCTCTGCCTGACATTTCTAGGAAGACATTGAGTGTCAACCTGCCCCGGTTTTCTGAAGGATGTTGGCCAACATCACAGCAGGAGCTGCTCCCAGCAGATGTCAGTTGAAGGCTTGGATATAGATGTGTTGCATTAAAGCACAACAGAGGAAAACACTAAATGGGCTCATCTTTAATTGACTTCTAGCTTTTGTCATGTGTGGCTTTGCACAAAACTGGGAACAGTTACAGCACTCAGAGGAATTTCAATTTAATCAAATTAAGGGTGTCCAATGAGGCTTTGATGTCTACAAAGATGGCAATGTGTTGGTCATGGCTACACCGTGAACATTGTCATCTGATTGTAAAGGATAGAAGGTGGGCACCAAAGTATTCCCTATTTCTCAGCACAGTATGAAACATGCTGTTTATGGAAGAAACGAACTTCTAGTATGATTAGTTTACCTTTGTAGGATGACCCAACTTAAGAAGAACTACATTTTTATGAGAGATCAGATGCAAGGACAACAAACTCCTATCAATATGTAGATTTTGCATGATTCAATTACAACCAGCAAGGTCCATCTTCAGGTTACTAAACTAACCTGCAAATCATCCATGAACATCACGTAACACAGACGAAGCATTAATCTCAAATATAGTAAAGTCTGTATGAAAGAACCCAAGCATAAATAAATAATAAAAATAATTGTGCCCATCTAGCATGTAAGGTGTATTAAACTAAGACACATTTCTCTAACAGATACTGGAAGCCTATTTGCTTTGTTATTAGATGATGAGATTAGTAATACGTCCGGAAATGTTAGAAATTCATCCACCATGCCCTGAAATTTCCAGCACTGATAGAAAAAACAATGAAAAACCAGACATGCACACTGTTGAACTTTCCATTTTTTCCCTCCTTACTGATAATTCTTTTTGTTTTTGTTTTAGGCCCCTCTGTTCTCTTTTTTTGGCCATTATCTATGTATGCTGTCCTCTTAACTAC